CCAAAGCGCGAGATTGCGCCAGTTGTCGACCTTCGAGAAGTTGAGTCATGGCCCAATGCTTTTGGCCATAACAGACAGCTTTTTGTAGAGCCGCTCGACCCAGTCGATGGATAATTAATGGTGAAATTGGGGAGAGGCTGTGATGGAAATTACCGGAAAGTTCCGGGACAGAAAGAGCCAGATGTCTTGCATTTACGAATTTGGGTTGGGTGATGCCACTGTCTCCTTTCTCTTCCTGAATCTGATGGTTACCTTGGTGACTGAAAATTGTCCACACTTGGTTAATGTTTCCTTTACGGACCGACCATCATCCAGCCCCATTTCAGCCTCCTCATTCCGTCGACAAATCAAATACCGATAGTTCCGCCTCTTTTTGTCAAGAACGTACTGTCGGTGAATCTAAATTAGCAGAAGCTACTGTTGGCTACTACTGGCTATATCATTTACCAGGGACCACTGACCACTGGCCACTGCCTACTGGGTGCTGGCTACTGACCAGAGCACTTGACCAGACCCCTTGCCACTTCGATTAGGCCACGCAAATGTAATTTAATAATTGCGGTTGCCCATGTTGATTAGCATGTGCGGTTTTTGCAATTTACTGCCGGCACTCGCATCCACAGGATATGAGCTGGCACTATGACAATGACAGGATGCAGCAATGCACCAGAGTCGAGTGGCACAGCTCTGGATCTGTGGAGCTATGAAGCTGTGAAGCTCTTGGAGACAGGGAAATGTTTATGGTTATGTGCTCGCCTGCGGTCGCAGCTTCAAACGCTGCGCTAATTGAATTTTAAATTGTGCTCTCCTTGCCGTCCTCCAAGTGGGGCAGGAGATTAATTTAAATGAAGTTATTAGCCAGGCCGATTGCCCAAGTGACAGGGCGCAAACAAAAGACCCACAGAGCCAGACTACCAGCCAGGCTGCAACAACAGGCGGCTTAGAGTGCCCTGATATGGGTACATGGGTTATGGGGATATGGGATATATAGTTACCGGCAACGACGGCCTTTCTGCAACGGGTTTTCTGCATTTGAAAGTTAAATTACGGTAGCGATATCGAAGCAGACATTCCGTTAATTGGCCGCACAACTTGAGATCAAGCTGCTGGTTTTTGTGGCAACTTGAGTTCTGGATACTCTTTTTTGCTTTCGTCTAATAAGTGCTGGATTATTTCGGGAATTCTAGAAGCTTGTTTGCCATTTATTCAAGATAAGTGGTTGAACAAGGTGCCTCGAGCTCAAGACTTTCCAAAGTGCCAGCTTGTATGTTTGACTTGCTTCCCTGTATGGTCAAGGTGATGAGCTAACACTGGATTTTGATGGCCTCATAAATTTCTATTAAAGTGTATAAAATACCTGTGGGTGGTGATTTTAATATAGTGAGTACCACAAAAATTAAAATAAAGCTCTTTTTATCAGTAATTTATCTTTATAGCCCCACATTACATAACTTTTATGTGGTTTGTTAGCTTGTTTTCTGTTAATCAAGTAAAGAGTAAAGCCGAATCCCATTTCCCTGGCGCATACGGTTAGTGTAATAAAACTTCGTTGCACTCCAGCTGCTTTGCCTTCTTGGTGCCTTTTTTTTTTGGCTAAGCCCGCTTACAGTTGCGGTAAAAATTGTTGCAAATTGCAGTTTAAAAAGTTTCCGTGTTGGTTTTTTTCGAGGCAATGTTGTTGCCGGCTTTTACGTCGCCGTCGTTGGCGGCGGCGGCGGCTGCAACTAATATGAGTCATAAATTTAAAGGCTTAACTCGAGGCTAAGGCAACGGCACATTGCAACTGAAGCTGGGCCCGTTGACAGGGATTTTAAAATGAAATAAATAAACGGCATTACGGCTAGTTATATGCAGCGATCAGGGTCTTGAACGGAATAAACCACGACGACAACTACACAGCGGACTGTCTGATTTTTCCACCGTTTTTGCGGAGTGTTGGCGTGGAAGCTGTTGCTGAAAGTTGAACTGAATGTGAACTCAACTGGGCTGGGCCCAAGTCGTCCGGTTACTTTTGCATTTGTTGCATGTGCTCTGCTTGGCATGAAGCCATTTTATTGATACAGATACAGCCCAAAATTTGGGTCTGCCAAAAACTACAGCAAAAAACTAAAGTCTGGTTTGGTTTCTTTCTGTTTTTTTTTGGCAACTCACAGCATGACATCATTTTGAGTTACTGCGAATCCGAGCTGCAGCAGCCCTGCAGCAACAAAAAAACTAAAAACTCCAAAAAAACTGGTCGCTGTTTTACTTTCGCTTTATTTCTTATTTCCTTTCGGTTTGTGTTTTTTCGGGTTTTTGGTTTTTTCAGCGAGATGCCTCGATATTTTTTGGGTCATCCCAAAGAAGTACTCTCGTATAAGGCAATGAAAACGAAACCAAGTTCTGGTGAAAGTGGGACTGCCCATCATGAAATCGACAACGAAATCGAAAACGCATGGCAAGTGCACAGTCTGAAGATCCGTGGACCACATGGTCGGGCCTTGGTGGAGCGATTGTGTCATGATGTGTAGGCCGAATACACCCACGAAGCTCAAAAAGGCCTCCACCAGCATTCACAACTAATGATGTTAGACGACGGGCACGGGCTGGCACTGACGCACAGAGTTCAGTTTCGGTTTCGTCTTCTTCGGCTCAGTTTAGCCATTCATATTCATCTGCATGCCCACACATTTTGACTGTTTTTGGATCGACGGCCGAGTCAGAAGAGATCAATGCAAAAAGTTTCGCGAGCGCAAAATTAATTAGAATTTTGTGGCTTTGGATCTTTGCTTTTTGCACCGTTTGCGCCGTTGGTGGCTGGGAAAAGACCTTGAGCGATTGGCTTGTGGTTCAACAGACTGTGTGGGGGGCTGGAAACTAGTCGCCGTGGGTACTGAGTCACTGATCTGAGCTTTAAAAGAGCATTCAAATGGCGACCAGTCTCCGCAATTTGGACATACTAATAAATCTGTCTGCAGGGTGGATGGAACTGAAGACGCACAGCATGACTTACGAATTACACAAAAATCGACGGAATCAATTCGCTGATTTCACTGACTGCACGAAAGTAGCAAAATCTCATTCCCACGAGTTTCACTGCCCATTAGGCAATGGATGAAGCTGAAGTTTTATTTGCATTCAATAAATGTTTCATTGGCTAATGTCAAGTTTGTGTCCGCAGTCTTTTGTTCCGCACTGCAATTTAAAGCTAAAAGCCATTCGTTTGGGTCACTAAATGTTAAAGACTGGATTAATTAAAGTTTTTGAGTTTTTGAGTCTTTAGATTTGCTTCAGAAAAGCTCTTATTGTATTTTAAGAAAAGTTTGTTTCTTGAGTCTTTTGATTTTTGAATACAAATTTCGCAAAGAACTGGGAAACTATTAAAGAAACTCACAGTGTCCGTTAAGAAGAGTTTGTTTCCTAAGTCTTTTGATTTTTGAACAAAAAATGTTGCAAAGAACTAAGATTTCTATCTATGGATCCCTTTCTAAGTTTTTTCATATGGATATTTGGATTTAGAAAAGTGAAAGATTTGCCATTTCATATCACAGTACAGTAATCATTGTTGAAGAATCTGATGCAAACCATTCACTTTATTTTGGGTCCTTTGGCTCCCTTAGTTGCGGCAATTTCTTTCGCCCACGCAGAGTGAGTCAAGCGCTTTGGTTCATAATTTATAGGCATCATTATTGTAATTTCTCCTGGCAGACAAACGCAGCTGTGGACGCAGCAGCTCGCACGCAAAACAATCATATATAAAGTGAAAGTTTTGCACCTTTTTCTTCGCAGGCGGTAAACATGCGGCAAACGCATCAGCATAGAAAACCAAACAAAACAAAAGTAGTCTGTCAGTCAGTCAGTGAGATGGAATGGATAAAATGAGATGAGCCACGAACTGGAGGGGAAAAACAACCCATTTCTGAAGTACAATACCTCAACCCACGATGGGGCCAAGACAATGGCATACAAACGACTGGCAGCTATTTCAAACCGAAACTGGCTGACAAATGAGACGGCGCCGGTAGCTTCACTTGTTTTGGCTTTTTTTTAATGGCATTTGACCAACAAAAAAGATACAACAAGACATCGCATAGCTTCATCAATGAGCCAAAATCTGGTGTAGATACACGGATTTGGCCAAAAAATTACCTTGTACCTGGCAAATCCCCAAAAAAAGCTAACAATAATACAAGAAATGTGTTGTGGCAGACCACTTGTGATGGCTTGACATTAACTCTTTCTCTGGCACCCACCAAAAAGTGTGTCAAGCGAGCATTTGCGGGCATTATTTGTCATATTTTCTATTTGCGTTCGGTTTCGTTAGTTTCAAAATGAGATGCAGAGAAAATAAACAGCATTAGCGAAGAGTCCCTGACCGAAGAGCTCGGTGACAAGGCGTCTTCGGACCCGTTTCCATCTGCGTATTCATCTTCTTCATCTCTCAACTCATCAAAACCCACAATGACTTTGGCCTGGGATTTTTGCACGAATGAAAGTGAATGTTTCTTTTTGTTTCGTTGTTTGTTATTATTATTTTTTTGCCGCATTAACAGTTGCTGTTTTTTAGGCTTTTGTCGGCATTTGGGTGGAAAGAAACAAACGGGAAATTTGTCATGTAAATTTTGTAAGTCAACGGTTTTTACGCTTAGTGATCAGTGATCGTTCCCCCATTTATTAAATGAAGAAAATTTCATGGGAATTAGTTTTCTAATTAAGTAAGCCAGAGAAAAGAGAAGCTATAAAAAGCCAATTCGTCATTAAGTTGCATAATTATTTTTTTATGTACTACAAATTTGAAATGTTTTCTTTAAGCTAAGTGCTTGAGTATAATTTTATTAAACCGGATATAGACTTGATTTATGGTTAAGCTTTGATTGTAGACTTTGGCTAGCCACTTCTAATTGGTATAATATCAAATAATCTTTTTTAGACCAAAACTCCTCTAAATTATCACAAAAATAAAATGTTTTATATACCACTTAAAATTTGCACTTTGTAGAAGCTAAAAAATTGCTGCTCACCATTTTATTCATCCACTTTCGGCCAAAATCAGTTCATACTGCCAACAGCTGCCAACGAAGAGCGACGCCAGCAAAAAAGACTTTGTTTCTTAGATGGCTGCTGCCAAGGCAGCTGCCAAAAGCGATTTGCCGTCAAAAAACACAGAGATATAGACGCTGGCACACACACACACACTCTGCGAAACTGCGGCAACAGACACAGACACTGGAATATTTTTTCTTATTGTTGTATTTAACAATATTTAACGCTTTTCTTTTGAACACTTTTGATGGCTTTGCGCGCGTTTGGTTTTTCGGAATTTTCACAAGGTAAAATTGTAGATGAAATTAACCAAGGCCTGGCAAACTTTCACTGCAATTAGACAGGAGTCAGGAGACGGGAGACGCGAGACCCCACAAATAAACAAATAAGGCAATGATCTTCGCAAAGATTTATCTGAAATCAGTCGCTCCGTCACCGGTGGCTGGCTTCCAATTGGAATCGACCAGGTTAATGTCCAATATTAAATCATCCACTGATGAGATCCACTGGGAGAGAACCGCACCGCACGCGCGCTGAAAACGAACTGAATGTGCGGAGCTAAATCCGACGATCGCGAGCCCCGTGTGGAGACTTCAAACCTGGCTCCAGGTGAGCTTCAGTGTGCCAGTATGAGTGTCAGTGAGTGAGTGTGTTGGCTGTTAGGCAACTTTGCTGCCCACACTTTGCTCGGCAAAAGTCGCTAAAACTGCTCTGCTCGGCGCTCTGCTCTGCTGGTCCATTTTTGGTTTGGACCGCTCCAGCAATAATTTTTCCCTCTCTTTTTTTCTTCTTTTATTATTATTATTTTATTTATTTTTTTTGTTATAACCAAGACGCCTTTGCAGAAAAGCAACAAACTATATATAAGTATATACATATATAACTTATACGATTTGTGGCCAGCTTTGATATTTTGCTGGCTTCCAAGTTGCCAGGTTTGCTTTGACTTTTGATTGACGTAATTTCTGCGCTTGATATTCACTTGAATTTCTTGTATTTCCACATTTAACTGTTTTGGTGTCAGGCGCACATTACACGCCCACAACACCCACAGTCTCACACACACTCACACACCCCGCACACCCCCCGCTGTGGGCGTTTCTTTTCTTTGGTGAAACATTTTATACAACTTTGTGTTTCGGCAAAGAGTTTTGTGAACTTTCGCTCGGCACGGAACTGAATCGAGTATGTGGGTGTACTGAACCGACCATATATAGTGCTTGACTCACACGATTTGCTTGGCTGGCTTGCTTATGCTAATTAACCAGCTTAAACTTTGGTATTTAAGAGCTTACAACCCCACCGAAACGAAAGACTTAGGCAACGAACTCGCCCCGAACGCATGAAAACTTTTCGGCGTTCCCAGCTGACCTTGCAGTTATAGAGTCCCAGTCCCGTTCCAATGGGAAATCTGAAACGAGGCAGGGCTCTTTATCCACTAAGAGATCTTTATTGCAATGAAGTAATTTCCGCATGTAATGGGGAGAACACGAAAAGAAGTTCTCCCATCTTACGGTAACCATTTTTTGTGTTGGTTTCCTTTTGGGAACGCCTTGCTTACACATTAATTTCTACGCCCCGCAATTATTTCATGCAGCAAATGAAGTATGAAGAAACATAAAGGCAAAACGTGTGCCACATACTAAAGGTGGGCCAAAAGCAAAAACCTGGCACTAAAATATAAAAACAACGAAAATTAACAAGCATAATTAAAAATGCACGCGTTGGGAATGGCAAACGCGAAAAGGAGGATCGGTTTCAGAAAAGAATTCGAAGCCTGACGATTCTGCCACATGTGGCAAGTAGAAGGAGTCCGAAAAGTGTACTAAAAAAGTTATTGGAAAACTTAAATTTTTGGTAAACAAAAAGCGTAAAGAGTATAACAAGGTAATAAAAGTTGAGGAACATAAAAAATGGAGAATAATGAGTAAATGGGTTTTGTGTCAGATTTAAGGAGTTCACTTCCAATAAGCCTAGAGATAAATTTTATTTTCCGTATTTGAGTGATTAATCGCTTTCATTTAATCAACATCTTGTCTGCCTCAGACAAATGATAATGAAAATCTATTAGAAACTACAAAACAAAAGAAAACTTTGACCTGTCAAACAAAAACAAGAAACAAGAGGCCTAAAAATATTCCGAAATTAACTACCAACACTGGTGTTTGAAGTTCATGTTCGGCTCTTAAGGGGAACATTTTTTCTATGTTTTTCCTAAACACACTTGAAGTTAGAGTGGGGTTACCCGAGCATTCGATAGGCATTCCTCAATTGCTTAAACAAGCAATACTGCAACAGCTGCAACTCTGCAACAAGTGGTAGCTAATTTTATGCGGCGGCGGCAACAAAAATATCCGATCAAAGGAGAGAGAGACGACGAAGAACCCACACGCGTCGTTTATACACTTGGCATATTTAACACATTTAATGAAAAATCAACAAAACATCAGTATTTATGATGGGGCAGGCTGATTCGACTGCGACTTGATCTAGGGATCGCCACTACCCATTTGTTGTTGCTGTTGCTGCTCGGAGGCGCCAGGCCCTGTCCGATGGTTGTGGCTTTATTAAGTTGCCTATACTTGCTGATGTTGTTGTTTTTGGTTTCGCAGCCGCTGGTCTTGTCTGTTTTTATTAATAAGTCATATTTTTATATGGTTCGGGCGAGAAGCAACAGAAGCAGCAACTTGATAATTTATGTTGTTTGCCGAAGCTGCAAGCAGGATGACAAAAGTTGCACGCATCCAACAGCAGGTGGACCAAGGGCAACCAGAGCCAGGGGCGCCCACATTCATTGGCGATCAGATACGTGGGCTTATTCATAAGTCACTCACTCACTAGCTCGTTCACTCGCTCACTCATTCATTCATTCATAAACTTTAAGAAGAAAAGCTCAAAAGGCGAAGCGCATTTTGTGATTAATTAAATGCAACTTTGCTGCGATCGCTATTGTGGTTGTTGCTGTTCAAAAAGTGTGCCATTGCAAGAGACATGCAACAGGTTGCTGCTATGTATGATGTAAGTGTTTATGGTTGTTTAAAGCTTTTTATTGCACTAGTTTTTATTTAAATTTTTGATTTCAAGTGGGCGAAAGTTTGTTGCCTAAGTCTTTCTGTTGCACTTTGCACCTGACGAGCCAGAAAACAACTCAGTCGTGGCCGATTGTCTCGTGATAGCTCACAAAACTGTGTCAAAGCCCAAAACACACCAAATTATTAGCTCAGTTCAAAGTCATTTGTGCCAAAAACAAAAAATTCGCAAAAATATAATTGTAGGGAAAATGAAAAAAAAAAATAGATTCGCAAACGCTGGAAATAGTTCAAGCATTGCGTAACTTCTAATTTCTGTTTCAGTTTTCGCGATGAAAAAATTGCATGGCGTCAACGAATTAAGCAAATAGCAGTAGCAATTGCTGCTAATTCCACAGAAAACTTTAACGTTTATTTATTCATCTAGATGGGTTTTTTTTCGAACTTTGCCGGCACAGTTTTCGCCGCCCCCACACTCAGCTGTTCAAATGTTGGAACATTGCACAAATATGTAACTCGAGGGGGACAAAGGGGATTGCACACCTTAACCACAAACTAAACGCGACCGATCGGCGGATAAAACTATTGAGCGAGGTGCACACAGCGCGGTGTGCCGGCAGACTGACTTGGAGACTCTCGATAGATCGACTCTCTTGACTGCATTCGCCCTGGCCAAGTTAGTTGGCCAACAGCTGAGCCGACTGAGCTGATCCGGCCCGAATGCTCTTCTCTATCTCTCGCTCTCTAGCGGTCTAACAAGCAAGACAAACCTTTTCGCCAAGCAAAACTAGTTTCGTTTAATTGTTGCCGCCGACCTGGCATTTGAAAATCTTTTTGGCCGTATAACAGTCGGTGGCGAGTCTCCCAACTGTGCTACCCGCTGAGAAAGGTTGAGAAGTGGAGAGATACTCGGCGTATAAATGGGAGAATCCGAGGGGCTAATTTGTTATTGTTATTGTATTTGTCAAGTCGACTGATAAATTGAGTTGATATTGAAAATAAATTAATTATATCTCCGAAAAATGGAACAGCTTGGAGTCGGTTTTCGTGGGATTAGGCAAGCACTGACGGTCTTTGAAAACTTAAACGGATCTGTACTTGTGAAAAAATAATTTGAATAAAAAATTATTTATATAAATTCAAAAAAATGAGGTCACAAAATGCGTCATGGCAGATTTTTATAGTAAAAAATATAGATATAAATATTCGCATAAAAATCCATAGCCAACTTGTTTTTTTTTTATATTCTTGCTGCTGCCATGAGTCACACGTTTATTCTGTACAGTTGACAAATTGTTGCAAATTGAAATCAAGTTGTCCAATTGAATTGAACACTATTTTATTCCCAGTCGATGCAATTTATGGTTATTAACATCTGATCTCGGATCTAACATGTTTTGAGCAGTGGTTTTATTAATTGATTCATGTTCTCGTGGGGGATAAGTGAAAGACTAGAAGACAAAGAAGTAGGCCACTTGGTGGAATCTGCCAGTGGGAGATAATTAATGAATTCACTGTTCTTCCAACAGGTTCCAGCACATTGGGGTTCTGAGAAGAAATTTCCATTTTTTTCTGGCTTATAATAATTTAAAAAGTTTATAGGGTATTTGACTTGAAAATGCAAAATGTGCAGCCAATTGGCTTCGCTCAATTTAAGTGGCTGCTCACGTTTTATATTTTAGCCGAGATCACTTTGGTGAGATATAAAGGTCTTTCAGTTTTGGCTGTTGGCTGTGGGCTTTTTGGCCAAAAGGCTCAAAGTCACGTTGCGCCCATAGACGCCACGTACGCATCACGGAGACGCAGTAACAGTCGCAGAGTCGGTCACAGTCACAGTTTAATGTTTATGTTATTTGTTGGCTTGTTTTATGTTTTCGCGTCGCTAAAATTATTGTTGCAGTTGGCTTTTTAAGCGGCTTTACTTCATTTGTGGAAACAACTGGCAAAAATCTGAGGGGGTGGTGGCAGGCGAACTTGCATAAGTACCACTGTAATTGCCCGGGCCAAGGCGCTCGTATATATGCGTCTATTCGCGCCCCCTTCGCCCCCTGTAATATGATTTATGTTGCCCCTGCGTTGCATAAGTATAAGCCGTGATGACGTTATGCGATGCGAAGCGCGTGCTAAGGCGGCTCAGAGCGGCTGACCCAAAAACCAAAAAGCCACTACGGTAGTTTGACGCCAACGCGGCCGCGGCGACATTTGGCTTAAATAGAATGCAAAAAGCTAAAAATGCAACTCAAACTTGGGTTTTTCTAGAGAGTAGAACATTGAATACTCTCACTAGACTTTTGCATATATTTTAAAAGGTATTTTAGCAATTTTTCCCCTCTTTTTGACTCCTTAATTTTGGAACCACACCTTGTCCCACTTGGCTGGTCAATATTAACCAAAACATTTCCCACAAATCTTTCGTATTTGTGGCATATACCCTAGTTGATACTACCTCTAGT